CGTCTAGGATACACATCGAGTAGCATGTTTATACTGGTTTCTACATAAATGCACAAATGCATTTACATTAGACGATGTGAAGCGCCAAGGTCTGTGGAGCAGTAGAACGCGTACATATACCAAGGGAAAGTCTCCTCTGATCATATAAGGCTGATCCGAACATGAGGCGACTTCACTTCGCAGCAACGGAGCGGGTATACAGTACTGGTTGATTGTGATGCACTAAAATATTTTCATTATGATCAAATTGAGTTTCATTATATTTATCGCCTATGTGAATGGCTTAGATATGGACAATAATTTATCAGTTGTCTACTTCGATCTACGTAGTTTCTAGGCTGCATGAGTGTCAACTAAACGTACCTGATCTTGGTTACCAGGATTAAACAATCTCAACATGAAAATCACAAACGTAATCAAGTATGAAAACGCAATATTTTCTAATAGAAATGACTCAAGAATTATCCTAAATTATTTTCATGAACCCTTGCCATCTGGGTTTGCTGTTATGAGGCATTATTTTATCCGAAATATAATCCATTATGGCAACTCAATTGAATAATCAAATGAAATTCTTTCACGACTCGGAGAAATTGCATTAAATACGTTTTCATATTAATAACCTATACTTGATATCTAACTCACTGAGTTCGAGAAATACCATTTTAATTAAATTCAACCTTAAGATCAAGGTCCTTTTTGTGCACAGCTTTGAATATTCGTATTGCTCTCATCATGAATCTGGTTCACTTATTATTTGATTTTAGACCTCAGAAATGATGTGTGACTCTAAGGTCCAGTTCATGCAACCTACCCCTAAAGCTCGGATCTCAATGTGATTGAAAATATGTTTTCTGTTTTGAAGAGAGGTCAATGTGCTACCTGCGCATTGGGCATTGAAAGCAAAAGTGCAATACGTAATGGAGCATAAAATAGAAATGACTTCATAGCAAAGTTGGTGGATTCGATGCCGAAGAGCCTGGGTCTAGGTCAACCACTGCTGACGAAATGGGAGTATCTGCAAGATTATGAACCATTCCACCTGCTGAGTATAAACGAATCAGGAAAATCACAGCTATAACGACTCACCAAGGCTTGTTTATTATTATTCAGAAAAATTTTTATTTTAGTATAAATGTTGTTGCCTATACGAACCCACAAGTGTTTCACATGGACCCGTTGCTTCATTTTCGATCAGACCTTTAAGCGGTTTATGATAACTCATCATTGAACCATTACACACAGGTATTATTTGCGGTGTCTGATCTGGTTTGGATCGTGTAACATTACTGACAGGGAATTATCCGTCTGTTGATAAACTCAGCATCTTGGCTAGTTCCTTGTGTATCCCCCCTCTGAGGGTGGGTGGGTGTTGGGACCACTGGGTCACAAAGCTGAGTAGCGAACGAGTGACCTGTGAATGGGGAACCGCGGTATGTATTACGATCATCTCGGTTGTACGCACTGAATTACAAAAATGTAAAATATTTCTACAATCTGGCCAGCTATTCTGACTTGTGCTGATCTTTTTTGTGAGAGACTGTTAGTCCATGACTGCGGAGATGGATTACTAGAATTGCTGTACCTGTCTGACTAGCTGGCTGGTAAGGGGATTGGCCTGTAAATAACTAACAAGAATGTTTTTCCCACAAATATCTATTCATCTTACGTCAACCGTACCGAACAAATTTAGAGTAATCGATTCGACAAAAATAATTCCCGTCATACTTTTTTCATTTTCCGAGTATAATCGAGGGTAGTGGGCTATGGTTAAACTTGCAAATAATAACTACCCGTAATAATAAAATCTTAACAGCTTTATATTGTTAACGGTTATTTTTATAATTTTGAGAGGTGAATAAGACCGTTTGATATTGCGACAACGTAAACCGCATAAACATAGGGATGCTTTCGAGATTGTAAAATATGTTAACAGGATTCCTACACTGGTTCTATACCCCTCTGATAATCCTTCCCCGTTCACGATGAAAGGATATCTATTCCAAATCCAGATTGCTCACACATTTATTCCTATGTTTTGATTTACCATCATCCACAATACTATCCGCCAGCACACCTAAACTAGTAAAAGGCTTCCTCATGCGATTCTGCTTGACTTCGTGCACCACCTACATTCAACCGCATATCACTGCATCCCTACTTTATCCACACACAATCCAAGGGAAAAAAAACCATTGAAACACGTTCATAACTACTCATTTTCTCCATTTATCCTTATCTATCCTATTTCTTATCTTATCCTGGCCGTATTTTTCGTGATTTATGGACAGCGCTAAATTAATTCACATTGTTCGATAGATTTAAATGACCTTCTGATTTTTATGTTCAATGGGTATATGATAGTCAAATATGCAACTTTGGGTATAATCAAACATTTGGTCGACTTGGGTTGTATACCAATCAGAACTACAAGGTTTAGCAGCTCACCCGATGACCGAGAAAATGAACATGATTGTTCAAAAACCACGTTCAGGCAAATATCCCCCCGGCCCCCGGAGTTAAACCAACTGGTTCACACGTGCGAGTTTTGGTAAACTTAACGATAGATCTAATAGGTCCGACCATAAAATAACGGAGGTAAAGAATCTACACAATAGAAAGCGGAGAAACATTTTGCTTTCATTAGTCAGAAATATCCAACAGTATATGCCTCGCTTGGAAGAGAAAATAGAGGGAGAATCCGCAGATATTTATTACATCGCAATTCATCACCAATATTTATCTGAATTGCAAAGGAATGTTAGTGGATATCAGTTTGTTAATACCACACGACACTTTCGATTCTCTGGGGACGTATGCTTGCCTAATAAGTTTGGCCGGCGAAACATAGATGTATGTGAATTTCATCTATAGTGCACGATGATGAATGACGGTGGTGGTCATGGCAACGCTATGTACTATTATTAGAATCGCGGTGGTTGTGGGGGTATGGGGCCGATTGACGCTACTTTACCGCAGCATGTCTCGACACTGCTTCACTCAGTTTGATTATCACAAACTCTCTATCTACATGATTCAGAGAAGGATGGAAGTCGGGAACTTTATTTTTTCTGATCCGGGCGGACCATATCATCACTCAATCAGCCGCGCCCCCAGTAAGGCACCGACTGTTGTCATATGAGACCTGAACGAGTTGTCTGAAATACGGGATCTGTTCTCTCTCTCTCTCACTGTTTCATTCTCCATTAGTACGTATTTATATCAATCATCGCTACGCCTAATTTAGGTAGTCATAGGTTGGAGGACATACTTCACTTTATTGCTTGCTCTTGGTACCTCATCAATCTGTAATTGACTTGTCAAAAGTATTCATTTTGACACGGAGAGTTTGGATTATTTCCAATATGAAACTCACTTGAATAGTTGAGAATTAGGTTGGTTCTAGAAAACTCACTGCATCAGTTGAAAGAAAGATAATCACTGAGAAGTGGAACTATTTTCATGATTGATTTGTTGATATTTATTGCTCGTGTTTCAGATAAGATGGATTTGATAGATTTTTGTGGACACTGTCAGTGTTGTGAATCAGGATAGTTTCATTTTTAATTTTTAATATCTCTGACGATTACTCAACCGAAACACACAGTAATGGTGACGACGTATCAACCTTCTCAGATGGGATTTTCCAAGTTAATGCAATCGGATTTACAAAATATAAACACAGGTTGTACAAGATTTTTCGTATGCCTAATCGCACCTACGGTCCTGAAATCGGTAGGTTTGCTTGTTGATCATTCAATAGAGCCCACGAGATAGTGACTACTCCGATTGAAGAATTCCTCAAGTAGCTTTATAGCCATCGCATTCTTGTTATCAGTTTACTCTATACCAACCCGGATACCAGTCATTTTCTAAAACTGTGAGCTGAATATATTGTGCTGAGAATTTGAAACCATAGGGATATATAATAATAGAACGCATTCAGTGGATGGATATAACATCGTCAACGCAAATCAAACTCAGTTATTCGACCCAATAATTACAATGGTCGGCTAAACTATCAGATAAATACCTATCTGGAGAGTCTAAGATAGACGATTAACCTCAGTAAAGTGACTAAATTTGCGCCTCTGTTTACCTGTTTAACATAGATAACTCAATCTCTGATTGCTTAAATCAGACTCGTTTCTTTTTAAATCAAAATCAGGAGATAAATCGATTTTGTACGTGAACTGTAGGACACAAAATAGAAATCTAAATTTGATTGGTCTATATAATTCTACTCAAATTAAAAACTATAATTGAAAAGAAATTTCTTAAGATATCATAAGGAAGAAATGATTTTCTAAACGATGGCGAAGTTTGAATAGTCAAGGCAGAAACATGGGTTTGCACAATGTATCCTTGATCATTTCGCTGCATCTGTACACGGGCTTACTGCAGTCCAGGTGATTTTCATAACAAGTGAGATAACAACTAAGAGACGAAAACAAGAGCCTCGATCGAGGCTACAGTCATCCATACTCTCAAACTTGATCTGTGAAAACAACGTGAATGGTTGGTAACATTAGCGTTACCTTGGTGATTGACTCCTACACTCTCATTTTTCCTGTTGTTGTCGTATTGTCAGTTGTGTTGTCCTCGTCTCACGGTTGTTATCTCACTGACTGCTGTATGCACGTCTATAGATGCCGCGAAATGAACATGGATGCATTGTGCCAACCTATGTGTCTGACTTCTCTATCTAAATTTGTGACGTGAAAACAGCGTTTTCAGATGAGGAAGTCTTTATGCTTGAACCTGACACGATACTCGTCACTTAGTCGTTTAAGAGCTCAATTCCCAGTTTCCCGCCTATGGTTCAGAATGTATATCGATCGGAGGGAAGTAAAGAGGGAATAATTATATTTATAAGAATAATTTTCCTTTTCGTTACGAACAAACATGCTGACCGATTGGACTCCACATCAGTTTCATTTGTCATGCATTACCTCCCGCTCAATTCCACTTGTTTCGACCCAACCTGTACATTCGGGCAGATTGGGCTTCCTCGGGCTGAAACTGATCCTTGTGGCCTATTCACGCCACGCGTCAGTTCGCCTTCGCCTTCTCACAGCCACTTTGACCAAACTGGCACTCAACGGACGAAGTGGAATTCAGTTGTGGAAGTTCTTCGATTTTCTGACCACACACAGACCACCTTTGTTTGTCCACCTGCTCCCGTTTATTCGATTCAAAGTAAGTCTGGTGAAGTGGCTCCCATGATCGACGGATGTTTGATTGCTTTATGCATGTCTGTGTGTGTACGCGTGCTTGCTTGCTTGTTAGTGTGTGTGCTACCGCGTGCCGTGTATTGTATGGCAGTCTGAGTGATGGAGGACAACAACAACGACAGCACCGTTCCGCCAGACCGAGCGCGTACTTGTCTGCCACAGAAATCGACTGAATGACCAGATTGCGGAAACATGTACCGGCATGTATGTGCAGTAGTCTGAGGACAGATAACCAACTGCCCCAGATTCGTACAACGAATGAGATTGGAAGTGGTCCTAATTGTCGTTCACGTTTTTGCTAGCTGATTTATTCGTATTCGTAACCAGATTATTTGGGTCAGCAGGTGAAAAATTCTGCGCAATGTAGGTTATCAATGTGTGATTTCAATTGATCATCGACGTTCACGTATTCGCTGTTGTCTTTGTGAGTGGGGGGGCGGTAAGGTCGAGTATGCAACCGTAACCCATTGCGTTCAATTTGCCCCTATGCAAGTGGTTATTGTTGTTCTTGTCATTGTTGTTGTTGCATGGTCTATAAAACGTGACTATGCATATGAATTCATCCTCCAGTTAGCAGGTTGTTTTCATTGTCAACGCCAATTCCCGTATTCATGAATTACACTTATGAAGCACACACACAAGTCCCAGGAAACTGCTCGGTTAGGAAGAAGAGAATGCACGAATGCATCAAAAATATGATCTCTTTGTATGAAATCACCTTATTACTTATGATCAGTGATCTATACAGCCATAGTGGTTCACGTGCGTCATCGATAAATCTGATTCTCCCACCAACATTTGTTTCATTTTGTTCAAATAACATTTGACCATTATCAAGGTGTCCAAAAGACATAGATTTTGCCAAATTTTACTGATAATACTGTCAGGTTTCACCCTAAGCACTCAATTTCCCGATTAAAGTTGTTTTCATGTAAAAGCCGTTGAGACCGAAGCGGCAATCACTTCATGGATGGCATTTCGCCGATTTCGAATCCCGACTGGGAATTCGAAGGGTTCTTACAGTCCAACGCGTGGACCATACCCTTCACAAGACAAGTCGTCACTGTCTGCGTACTGACGCAATCTATTTGTAGGACACACCTTCATTTAATGGACCGTAGAATCGGTGAAACCTTTTAACATTGTGCAGCTATGGAAATCGGCAAGCTAATTCTTGAACCCTGTAGCGCTCCATAATATACAATCAATCTCCTGCCATGTTGAACCCCTTAATAGCATTTACTACTGACCATCGTGCTATGTTGCAGTTCCTAGAACCTACCCACCTTTTCGAATTCCCTAGGGGTGCGACATAGCAGGATATTGACTGTATAAGAACATGAATGGATATGCAGTATGACGAGTTGGGTACCATCGTATTTCTTATCACCGAGGTTGAAACGGTGGTGGCCCCTAATCAAACTTTGAACAGACATGCCACCGTCGATATCGAATGGATACAGCCCGACCAAGATAGTTTTGGCTTTGAGGAATAATATCAATTCACTTGGTAACCTTAATCAGTCGATTTTATGATCGATTCTTTGTCATTCAGTGCAACATTTGCCCAGATTTCTCATTTTTACTTTACATGTCTACAGAGCAAGCGGTAAACAAAACTGTATCAAGCAGATGCGCCTGTATCGAAGCATATTCTATTCAACTTAGCCTGGGATTATAGTAATGTGCGGGCAGCCCCGAGGCGTGCACAGTGGGCATTCGTTTATCTTTAGTGCTGCTACAATACCCCTCTCGCATTTCACACTTTTTTTCCGCCAATCCAAATTCAGTTAGCACATCTGCGCTGCGCGACTCCGGGAGAGCAGGCCTATCAACAAATTGTTAGCCAGAAACTGATCGGTCTTCATCTGCCCGTGCCACAAACCACAGCTGCCGTGCTACGGGAATTGATGATGGAGCTTGGCACAATTCAGCATGACGTACAGGTGAGCTTTACTGATTTGCGTATTTGGTTTAGCGATATACTTCAAACAAAACTGTTACGGCACGCTTTTTCCCCAAAATAGCGAGACACACATGAGTAGATAGTATCAGAAGTCAGTCTTCTGAAAGAAACCCATTGGGTTCTGATTGAAAAACTCGACGGACGATGTTTCCAGTCAGCTTATTGTTATTGTTATTACAATCCTCTCCTTGATTTATTTACCTAAGGGCCCAAGTAAATTATTGATGCTTATCGTGGTTAAAGTAAGAAAAGAAATGGACTTTCGTTTGCAATTTGTTTTATCAGAAAGCAACCCCGTTGTTTTCCATGATATGGTATCCAGTGCGATTACGGGGTAACTTTTCACGATAGAAATGCAACCTGAATAACATTCTTCACCGGAATCTTCATGCAATCAACCATCTTTACTTCATAGTCAGTAGATTGAAGTATTAGCCGGTTCTGTACAAGTGATGGTTCCTGAGAGAGAAATCGTAACTGGCGAGAAAAGGTACAAGCCCTTGGCCGCCTGACATTCGCTCCTGTGAAAACAATGGGGCTCCATTTTGCGAAACAATTTCATTGTTTTCGCTTGTAGCAACACTTCTGTTAATGATATATGGTTTTGATGAGCTGTCAGAAGCCATTCGTATGCCACGTTGTTGAAATGGCTGATGATAAATGCAAAATGTTTCATTGACTTGAAATTCCTTGCTCCCAATTAGTTTTGACATTGGTCTGTGTTTTCGCAATCATATGAACCTTCGCTCGTACTACTCCGAATGGGGATGCGAGTTCTGTCTTGGAAACTTCATTCCCACGTAAATTACCAAACTAGAAAAAACGGTTAAGGATGTCTTCGGCAACGCGGTTTACGGGTGCGTGGCAATGAAACCAGCAGCCTTGAGATCAGGCTGTGAAAATGCATTTGTAGTGATCATCACCGCAGGGATCGATAGCAGTTACAATGCACGGAGCGCACCTAGAATCACCTGCATTGTACGTCCAATTCCTGAATATTCACAAACATTGTACTTCTAACCCCTCTTGGCACAGTTGGATGACCAACAGTGTTCACTCGTGTCTACCCAAATGTAACACTAGACACTCCTGACAACAGCAAGGGGCAAACTTTTTTAACCCAAAACAAACTAGTAGTTCCTGTCGTTGTGTAGACGTAAGGCTCAACGGGTGTGTTTGATCGAGGGACGGACTTCATGATAAAATCAGTCCGGACCGGGTTGAACCATTCACTTACAGGTGGCAACAGCTCTAGTTGGATGGAGGAGCACTGTAAATTGTGCATACTATGCAATTCCTCCACTTCCTGTTTGTATGTAAAGTCCTTCGGTGGTATTTGTTTTTAGATTCCGACAAAAGCTGCTAACCAGCAGTCCTTTAATTATTTCCTATCACGAAATTTTCGATGCACGTCAGTATAATTGAAGGAATTAACCACATCTAAAAGGTTCTATTAGTATTTATGTGAGGTAAAAGGCAGTTGGGAAGGATTTGTTTCGATTTAATCAAGATTTAGCAAAATGCTGCCCAAAAAACTGGCGAATTATTTTATCACACTTTTGCACCTTTTGAATTTTGTAGGTTGGCTGCGTTTTGCATGAAACAATGAAACAATAACAGTTTTATCTCGGAAATCCTTCCATTTTTTATGCACAACTATCGACAGTGACAGTCAAATGTTTACTCACAGGAGTTCCAAACGTCTTGCCAGATAATACAACTGAATCTGCTCTCTGCAAATGTGAGAAGATGCTGAACAGTGTGCAGGTTTTTTTTCTATTACACACCTTAGTGTGAGAAACAGAAGAACGGGTAGACCAAATCGTCACACAAGGACTTACTGTTCACCCAAAGGAACCAGCTAAGTATGCATTTGCAGTTGGATCAGCAGGCCAAATGAAAAACCGATAGTACAAACATGGTACTGAGCTAGATCACGGAGAAGCTATGCATCATCAAAGTGAGGTGGTAGTGACAGAGTTCGAACCTTGGGGTCAGCAGAAAGCCAGCAAAAGAAACTGAACTCACTTGCAAACTACCCTCTCTTGGCTGAGGAATTGGCAAATCTAGATTAGGCAAAAGTCGTATGTTCGTATGATGAACTACCTGGATGATTATGATTGAAAAACTATCAGCAAGTGTGCTTCTATGGGTCACTATTTCGTTTGTTTCTCTTTTATATACATCTTTGAGATGATAGATCTTCATTTTCTACTACCAATATCAGGTTCATACGAATTCTCACAATTATTATTCCCTAAATAATTTTATGTTTACCAAGCACTTCACACAAGCTCAGTTCAAAGAGCTCCAACCGGGTCGCTCAACACGTGACTCTGTACGTCGTCTGTACTCGAGTGATCATTCACCGGCCGCTCGAAAGCGCTCTTCGCGGAGAGCAAAGACTAAACTCAGTGGTCTAACAGAGGAATCCGCCAAACCTGAGTCGGATATGAGCTTACCGGATCACACCAATTTGCGACATCGAGTGGACGTCCTCGCCTCCGTCACCTCGGAATCGGCTTGCAGCAGCGAGCACCTATTCGATGATACGGGATTTGGTTTACCTAGTGAGACTCTATTGATTACATACTTGTTTGTTGAGTATTTTTTTACCACCAACACCACCACCATCACCACTACCTCCACCACTACCACCAAAACAAAAACAGCAATAAACAAACAAACAACAACCGCGACGATAGGGAAAGCACAACTAACTGAAACCATGCACGCATTTAATCAATCAGCTAAACTTCTCCCAGAATTAGTGCTATATATTTCAACTGTTTCTTTTAAGCTAATCAAATCTGTATGCAACTACCCAGAGTTGGTTCGCAGTAATTTCTCCCCTCGCAAAATTCAGTCCCCGATACTTTTCATTCACACTCGCATGCATTCTATCTGTTCCGGTCACTTTCGCCCAGGTCTTAGTCGTGCTTCTCGTGGCGTTCGGACCATGAATCAGAGCTTTCGACAATCGATTCTCATTCGAGATCCACGTAAACGGATCGGAGCGCACGATGGTAGTCGACTGCTAACGCAGAACCAAACATTGAAGCAATCCGATCCGATATTGACCGGTACGTTCATTTTTCCCCGATTGCGTGCTTGTTCAGCATCCAAAAACCATTAATTAGCAGGCTTTGAATCCAGCGATTATGAGAATATTTCATGATTGGAATAGCTCTTTTCATCCACGACCATAGTGTATTTGACTGTTTACAGTTTTGAACTGTCAGTTTGCTCCCGTGCATTCAGTTGAAATTGGAGTTGGAACTACGAGCTATCTTAAATTGCCTTAGGTTCAGTTCGTTTTTCTAAAAGTAAAATTCATCATTCCTCACTCCGGTCATTTGTTTCTTTGATAGCAATCAAGTAGCTGCATGTGTATCACTGGCTTGAGGACAGGCGTATATATAATGCACAGATCGGGGTACAAAGTGAACCTCTAACTAGTTGGTCATAGACCCTGAAGCGAATATCTGCAGTGCCGTTCTAGAAGCCACTTCTCCTCGAGCCAGAATGCTTGGAAAGGTGTGTATGCACAGTTAGTCTGTGTTTAGTCTATGTTTACTATAGAAGTTCACTTTCCCCTCCCCCCTGAAAATAGGACCACTCCTGAACAACCTTACACATTCTTAATTTGTATGCATTGTGAGCTTCTCGCCGATAAGTAAACCACGGTTTCCTTTATTTTGCTTTACGGTGATGAGGAGGATGGCTCCAAGTGACGGATTAAACAAATATCGCCCGGGGGGATTTGCTCGAAGACTTGGGAGGTTTTCGCTGACAAACAGTCTCTTTGAAACATGATTTTGGCATAAAAAGTATCGTGGTTTGTGTCATCAAATAAGGACATCGTAGTGTATGTAGCACTGAACTATGCAATGGATTGAGGAGCACACTAAAGAAGGCCGAGTGATTCATCGAATATCAAGTGTACTATATTCTTGGGGATGTTACATATTCTTCCATCAAGCCAAAAAAAGTAAAAGATTTTGTAATGTTCGTTTAAAATCAAAAAGATTAAAGATTCAAAGAAAAAATTAAATGTTCTATGAAGTCCAGTGGAAATAATTTTTGGGTCTTTTTGTCTCTTTAACGTCTCGAAAGTCTGACGGTGAGATAGTGATAACTAAACAATTCACAACTTGATTATCATGTCGGATGGTGCAAGCCAAAGCAAAACCATTCCGTCACGAGACAGAATTTTCGCGTACTGAACTTTAGCCTAGCCTTTGATTTCGCCCGTATCCACTTGGCTTTTCGCTTGCTTCGCTCGTCTCAATTACCATATGTTTTTAACAAACACTGTCATCCGGGACAATGGGACCCGAATAATGGCTTCAACCGTATGAGGCCAGATGAGGATTTGAATAGTTGATGCATTCGTCGTGTAAATGAAGCGGGAGCTGAAAAGTTAGGAAGCTCTGGAAAGCTGTTTCAACCTGGATGGATCTCATTAGCAGTACAAATTCATCGACCCAATTGGGGATCGAACCTGGAACCTCACAGGTAGAACAGGTAGAGCAGTTTATCACCTAGTACTGAGATGCACATGGTGTGACGCCCGCACAAAGCTCACAAAGGTGGGTTGTGCCACATCTTGTATATTCTAAATGAAAAACGGTCTGATCAGTCACCCGGTGATCGACTGGTTAGTATGCTTGCATTCTGCCTGCGAAGGCCCGGATATGAAGCCTGTTGTATCCCGTATAAGTCAATAAGTACTCAAGTAATGAATTAAATAGTTATTCTATTTCCAGTATGTAAATGCAGACGTAGCCGGTCCGTAGGCCGGTGAGCAGGTAGTGCGTCAACACGCAGGTAGGCACGAACTGGGCAAGTGTCGTCACGGTGGGTAGTCAACAAACCAATCAATGCGGACCGGTCAATACTGACCTCTGATTCGCTGAGGCGGATTGTTACAGAGTAAGTCGGCATGGCGTGCGTACGTGCGTGTGGTGGCAGGCTGTAACGGTCAATCAGGTGATGTGCGGTAACCGTTTCACTCGGCTGCAGGTCACGACATCCCAACAGGGTTATACGGTGCTTCCTAGCTTTTAGACCAACTGTACGGGATAGACTTTAGGAAATGACTCAACCACTTTGAATCATTTTGCGGGACTCTGATGACCCTAATAACGCCATACAGTGAAGACAACCGAACTTTTAGAAGGCTTTTTTGTATAACTTCGTCAAAATATGAAAGATACAATGCATCACTGAAGTACCCGAACTTCTCACATACGATTCACTAAAAAAGCAAGCACTGCAACAAAACTAGCAAGTTCCATAAACTAATTTTTACACTGACGAATCAATGTGACTGCCAGAAAGGTAGAGACCTCACACAGATCGACTGCCAATGTGTTCCGATGAACTGTTGCTAGTATTAGAAGTAGTCTGATCAGTGATCCGATTCGCAAATGGGTGTCTCCGCTTGCTGTGTATGCATGTATGGTTCCTGTTCAACTTTGAGTAACGCTGTCCAAAATGGTGAAACCAACTTTGAAGTATTTCCCAGCCATTTATTACGTCTATAGTTCATCCACCCTACACACGCGTCGTATTCCATTTAAAACAAACGCATTAGCGTTCACATCACTGTGGTCCATTTGGAATACTGACTTCGTTATATTGCAATCTGCGGATTGTTCCCAACCAAAAGGGTTTTATTTCGCGTCGATTGTGAGCAATTCACAGTTAGTTCTCGTCAATTGGATATGGTGCAAACAATCCAAAGATTCCGGTCCCAGTACAAACAGATGCAAAACAAGCGTTGAAAAACAATGCCAAAATACTACACTGTTATCGCTTAACGACCGTGTATTGGACTATTCTAGTTTGCATCGTGCTTATTTGCTGGTATGTGGAATTCATTGGATTTTGACCTGGGTATGCGGTCATTAATTAAGGTCATATCCACAGTTTACGATTTTGATTTGTCGTTATTTTTTACCAGGTCTTAAAATGACCACCAAATTGTACTCGCACTCTGAGGAATACAATGATCGTTGTACGTGGATTTGATAACTATTGTTCCCTATCTCAATAATGCACAGGCATACACCACCACTTAGATTTCAGATGTGCGCATTAGGGGTTAACGATTACAACAAGTGGTATTTAAATGACTGCAAAATCAGTCTGAGCTCAGGACAGGATATGCACATCACTGTTGTATCATCAAACTTCGAGTTTCTTTTTCTTTTTCAGGTTCGAACCTCCTGATTCTTTGCAATAAATCATAGAACATACGCAACTAAAAGAGCACTCAGAGATGTGAATTGGAGACTTTTTGAAGATACCCATTTTCACACCGATAGCAAACGGTAAAGAGCATACCCATGATCACGCGGGTACAAGTCGTGTGCGACAAAACCATTGGTTAGTCGAATAGGTACTTATCTGGGGGTGGGGCGATCGTGAGTGGGAGAGTTGGGGCAGTATTCACACAAATCAAGGGGGCAAAACTAGGACTGCACGGCCAATTCATTGATGTAATAACACCGATGCCAACTTGACCTTTTGAGCTATTCACACACTGACATGTTTGAGCTAACGGTTTTTGCACACCTACTTAGGCATGGTGGGGATTAATCTGACGAAGTATTCTCGCGTTCGATCCTACAGCCGCTGTCACTCAGGTGACCCATATTGAAAGTGGAGCTCATCTTTGTTGAACGAGCCATTTTGGATGATGCTGTTTAACACGTTCAGATAAATACCTAGCCGTGTGATACACCACAACCGCACAAGAGAATGGATGATTTAACATTGATGGGGTCAACTTCGAAAGTTGATCCATCACTAACGTTCTTCTAATTGGTGTAGTCGAAACCATACATATTCATTTAGCCGTTGAAAGTGCGGATGAACGGCCTGGTATCTCAAATCGTCTATCTCGTAGGAATGGAATTTTAAAAGTCATTCATCCTTTAAAGCTCATTCGAATTTTGCGGTGGCTGCCTAGTTTCGACAGCCAGAATTTCACACTTGCACCGAGATGTGAACCGGATATTTGTGGTAACTTCCGATAGTGTTAGCATCCAAATCTCATCCCTTATTTGTGAGAACGTGCCAATCTGTCAGTTGGTTTTCCCTCTCTCTCTCTCTCTCTGTCTCTCTTAATGGTGTTACTGAACTATTATTCGCTGATGAACCTCGTCCCTGTTGGGTAATTCCACAGCGAATACTCATTCAATTATCCCAAATTTGGTAAACTATTGAGGTTCACGTGAACCGGAGGACATCACGGTGTGATTAAATTACCACCCGATCCACCATCTAGATCAATTCAAACAATTTTTCCTCATTCTGAGAATACCTCGTCTCTGACCGATCCACAACACCTCCTCTTTTTCACCACTTTTCCAGCTTCTGCGGAGAGTATACATCGTCAGAGTCAAAACGTGTCACGGAGAAAAATTCGTCAAACGTAAGTCTTTAAAGGCAATCATTTTCTATCCATATTTTAGTCCATAAATTTAGCAGGTTTTGAAATGAGGCTCAGTAATATATTTTTATTTTCATATTGCATCAGCTAAGTTCAATTATTTCATTAAACAAATTCAATGCAACAGAAGTCGTCCATGTCAGCTAAATGCGGCTTATTGATTTCGATCAGTAATCAAAACAAGTTCTCATGTGAACCAACCATAGTGGGTTGAGTAGTAAAAAATCTGATGAAAGGAGTTGCTTTTTTGACACAACAACGTTATCAATGCAGGAATTGGACAAGTTCAATGAAAAATCATGAGCCACATCTAATCTGGACATCTGTGATACCAGTAATAAACGGAGACTGTGGGTTGGAGGTATTCAGATCCAAACCCGAATCCATTACACATTACAGATTCAGTTCAGGTTAGCAGTTACTGGTCATTTAAAATCTCTTCTGCGTTGGAAATACAGAAAAATAAGATGGGTTTTCGAAAAGCCACAAAAGCAACGAAAAGGATGGAATGAATTGCTACCTCGGGGAACAATCGAAAACTGCTACAACTGACCAGTGAAATCGGAGGACAGGGAATCTAGTTTGACGACGCGATCTGAGTGAAAAGTGGATAAGCCATTCACAATGAAGAGCGATCGCTTGACTACTGGGTAAAGTACTTTGACGAAGAGTTTAGTTGGCCTGGCGCTAGCAAGCATACTCCGGCTGTTGAAGCTGAAGCCCCATGGGGCGGAATCATGCGGAACTCTGACAGAATGAGAAGTGTTGACAAAGTATTGAAAATCGGTCCTCGTAGCTCGGGTGAAATGAGTTCCGTTTCGCCTGCTCGCCGAGCTTGGCAATTTATTTGCAAACGTTTCATCACCAGCCGAGGTGACATCATCAGTTCTTGACCACCTCACAAGCACTGATGATGTCACCTCAGCTGGTGATGAAACGTTTACAAACAAATTGCCGAGCTCGGCGAACAGGCTAAATAGAATGAGAAGTGCAGTCCTAAATCTAAGGAAAAGAAAAGTAAATGAACCTGACAGGCTTCTTCTGATGTTTTTAACTCTATTACCGTTGTACTGTGCAACATGCAGTCAGAGGAACGTAACCCATAAACCAGAGTTGATGATTCCAACCTTTGGGAACGTATCCTCACTAACAACCACGGAAAGATTTTATTCCATTTCTCACCAAAGTCCAGCTCCCGACACCTGTCTACCTGACGTGCTTAAGAGAGATAAGTAACCGCAAACAGCAGCGGTAGCAGCAAGGTTCCCCCACGTACATACAGGTGGCGGTGGTATTGACGAGGTTTTCATGTTGCATCGAGTATTTGAGTTGCGCCACGTACATAGTAGGCCAACAACCACAGTGTTCTTGTAGACAACAGGTGCACTTGATTTGGATGATCATGAAGCTCATTTTAGTTTGCTTCTTTGCAAAGTAATGCACCGGAAATAATAAGTTTGCTGGACTCGCATACTTCCAGTAGGTTAAGGTTCTTAATCGAGTCAAACAGATTGAGATCTGCAGCAGTGTTCGCCAAGGATGCCCTATTTTACCAGTCCTGGTATAGTTTGCCGTAGACGAAAACCCACACAGTTGTCTCCAAAATGTTGGCATTGAATGGGTGATTGGAGAAAAGCTGTTCAGGTTGGAGTAAACCGATGAGTAGTGTGTCCATGACTAAAACACCTGGCGTCCATTTCATATTTCTTTGGAGTTCTGCTCTACGACTGCAGGACTCCATAGTTCGCATGTGGATGACATCCACTGTCTGGAGGTTTTCGAATATGGATGTTGATGCAGCAGCTGAGATAATGTGAGTGAAGTAGTGGCACCGAAGTAATCTGTTGTGTTCAGGAATGCTCGGCGAAAAATTCGTCGTCGCACTGAATTCGGAGGAGTAGACTTTGCTGGTTTTTTTACGTATTGCACATGTCTGACTCTCATCTGCCAAATCGCACCCTATTTGCAGTTCCCGCTTCCGGTTGGAGAAAATCACCTTACGGTGACCAGATTATGTAGTATGAGAGACGACGAAGTTTACAAAGATATTAATTACACTAGGTGTTTCTTGTTTTCTAGACAGGGGTTCAAAATAATCCGCAAGTGGTTGGTTAGAAGCATTGAAAGACATGCATAAAACCGATAGCAATGGTGTTCCTGTTGTCATTCCTTATCGACTCAGGATATACTCGAAGCGGTATGTGTATGCATTGTTAGAATATCTGCTGTGTGTTGGTCGTAGAGGTTCACTTCCTTTTTCTTTACCTCAGCCCCACTTCTCATCAAAGCAGTCGTGTNAGTTTGTGTATGTGGTGAGCTTGGCAGTGATCAACAAAGTTGGTTTTACACCCTTACTCTACATGATGGGGAAAATGCACCATCAAAGTGAAGAGGAAAAGGGATAACTTTTTCGAGCTCCCCGTTCATGGCCAGATTGAATGAATGATCGTTACAACCATAAAAGTGGCTTCGTATACAATAGTTCGATACCAAATAAAACCTCACAGGGCACATTTCAATAACAGCCACCACCACAAGACAGCTATATTCCCATATTTCGAAGACAATGTTGGTTGCAACCAATACTTAGGATTCTGACCAACGACCATCTAAGGGATTGAATCGTATTGAGCACTCGAAATCAATAGTTCTACTAATGTTCAACAACACATCCAATACTAGAGTAAACTATCTTGTGTGCCCTGCTTGTGTCCCATGACGTTTTTGTGACTTGAAGCAATACACCAATATATTCGGAGCTAGTAGTATACTCTGTTGTCATGTTTATATTTCTTTGAAATCGGATCAAACAATATTTCCCAAAATATGCATTCCCGTTTCCGATGATTGTTCTAGACGTGGGATATACATGTAATTTGAAAACAATCGGTTTATGTCCCTTTTCAACCTCAACTTCACAGCTCAACTGTGCCATCAGATAACGCTCCACCCACACTCCCGAAATCGCATTTGGCCAAAGCAAGCTTTCTCTTGAGTGACACCACATTTGACGATCAGAGTTTGGGCTCATTCACCAGTGATGAACTACGTGGTCCAGTTGGACCGGCCGCTGCTGCCGCCATCGCCACTTCATTGTACGGATCTGGTAAGTGGGATGTTGCATACGGCTGTTGCTGAAACCTTTAGAGGGAAATTCACGAGCCAGAAAATTTTCAACACAACACTAATTACAACTTCTGTGAACACCAAAATCAGAGGAACAAGCACTGAACAAAATTTTTTAATGCGAAAACACGTTTTAGGGATAATATTCCTTTTAGTCTGTAAAACAACTATTTTGTGCCACTGATTTCAACAAACGCACAACCCTTGGTTCATCTAGTCAACCATACATTCAAGAATAATCAAAATCGATCTTCATACGCCAGTGGTACGCAGACAGAGTTTGAGCCCCAGACCCCTCAAATGGAAGACACTTGTTACTTCTGTACCACCTACTTCACACCGAAGCTGCCCACGATTGCCGATTAAAGTCTGTTAAGGCAATATCCACCACGAAGAGACTGCATCTTGACGTGGTGTGACGGCTTGTACACCTCTATGACCAAACGAGCGACACAGGATAGCTTTCATAAAACCAGGAAATCGTATTCTGTTTGGAAGGTTAGAGAATAGAGGTCAGACAAAGTGCAGCCTCCTAGTCCTCCAGATTAGGGGTTCAACTCCAGTTAGCCTTGGTCGATAAAATAGTGGAGGAGTAACCAATCCAAGAAATTGGCTTTTATTTCCTTTTACCCGTTGCCTTGTGGTCAGGTTCTTGTTAGAACTAAAGGCTTTGGTTGAGAACCCTAGTTATTCTCCTGTTAAGTGCCTAATCTATTGCATAAACAAACTGAAAATAATTCCATCGATCATCGTGCAGGATAATCCGGACCGCGGTGCCTATTGCAGCAAGCGGGGTGGATAGTGATAAGTGAGCTACTGCTCAGGTATCCAAACATTTGTTCCGTTCCTTTTCTTCCATATCTAACCCTCTCTCTTTCCCCTCTTTCCGACCAGTAACATTCCCCCAGACAGCTTGTTCGTTATTCGCCAAAGTTTGTTGCCAGTAGCGTGGTAAGTATTTTACCACGGAATAGACGGCAAATTCTGAAGCCTCATCAACCTCTCAATCTGGGGGCCTTCAACCTGAGAAATCTGATGCAGGTGGGTCAGCAAGCTTATCTGGCGCGTTCAATCAATTCTTTGGGAATCGATGTTTGCTGCGTATCGGAGACGCGAATCTAGTATCCTGGTACCATAAGCTACCTAGGTCCTCGAGATACTTCCTCCGCACATCGGGTGACGATTTATCACGTTCAGAAGGCCAGCGTGGCATAGGTATTGTGCTCAATAATACATCCAAGGTGTCACTAATCTATTGGATCCTGGCCAACAGTTGCTTATGTGCGATGGTCTACCAGTGTCCAGAAGGGAAGGAACATCAAAAGATTTTTGTTCATCATTTCAGTGTATGCACCGACCAACTGCAGTTCTAACTCACAAAAATACGAGTTCTATGATAAACTCACCAAACTCTTTCGGTTGAGCCAAAGCTCCGATATAGTTGTGCCCGCCGGTGATTTTAACGCGCAAGGTGGAAAACTCAGCTCATCGAAAACTGGCCTAGGCGGTCGTTGTGCTCTGCCCTGCCAACGAACAGATAAGGACGATCGACTTCTTCAGTTCTGCGCAGACCATCACTTGTTTCTATCCAGTACCAACTTCAGGCACAGCTCTCCACGTGGAGCTCCAATTTATCTGGTACGCTAACTCAAATCGACCAAATAGCAGTGAGCTACCGTTGGTGTGGCTCAGGACAAAACGGCAGATCCTATCGGACCACCTGAGTTAAATCTGATCAAGCATTAGTTTTGATGGAGTTCAGTCTCCGACTCAATGGTCACAGAAGAACACACCCAATTCAGTTGGCAGATCGTCGCTTATCGGGCCCAGCCGTTCGTGTCCGCTTTAAATCAGAACTAGGGCAAGAGCTAAACGCACTGCGGGGTGGTAGTTTAGATGAGCAATAAACTCTGTAGCGGTTTGAAGCGGTAGTCCGTCAGAGGTATTGGATATCTGGTGAGTCAGTAGCACTGATGGAGAAAAAGCGGCAAATCCCGACCGTCCGGGATCAAAGCAGGGGCAGATGGCGTCTGCAATGTCAGCTCCTGAAGAGACTCAAAAAAGATCGTGAAAACCCGTGGTTAACAATAGCTGGTGAAATCGAAGAAGAAGCTGCATCAGGGAATTGTCAAAAACTGTTCCAACTGATATGTAACAGGGGAGGTCGACGAACCCCAGTTAGTGAAACAATCTTCGACAAAAGTGGACAAGCTATTCACAACTGAGAACTGGTGGGCGGAGTACTTTAGCGTACAGTTCAGCTGGCCAGACGCTAACCAGACCATCTCCTCTGGTGTAGCTGATGCTCCGTGGGCAGTGTCATGTGAACCTCCTACTGAAGCAGAATTTCGACCTTACCTCTAAACACTAAAGATAGGAAAGACAGCAAGACCTGACGGGCTTCCTCCGGCTCTTTTCAAGATGGTGAGCGATGACCTCGTAGATTCCATTACTGGTTTAATGTGTAGCATCTGCTCACACGAGCGCATTCCGTCATCCTGGAGAGAATCACTGATTGTTCCAATTTTTAAAAAGGGATTTCTTAACGACCGTGAATTAGTTTGGTTGCAATGGTTGCCAAGGCATTTGTCTCCGTCATAATTTGATATCCGACACCGTCTAAGATGTATATCCGCGAAAAAAGCAAGATTTTGACCAGGTCGTGGTCATATCGACCAAATCTGCTTGGTTTATCGAATCCTCGAACTACACCACACACATTGTCGACCAACGATTGTCGTGTTCCTGATCTAGAAGGAGCCTTCGACTCAGTTGATCAAGAATCCTTTATGGGTTCGCTCCATCGCCAAATAATACTGCCGAATTATGTAAACAGGAGTTCATTCTATTTGCTTGCTTCGGGCAGCGTAAGGGTTTACGATGAACTGATTAGTTCGTACTTAACTAGTTGCGTTGTTCGTCAAGGGTGCCCTATTTCGACATTTGTGTTTAATTTTGTGATAAACGAAATACTAGAGAACGCACTAAGTGGTCTCCGCAATGGGCAGATGGAGAAAAGCTGTGATTTGAAGTACGCTGACAACATCGTCTGCTTATTCGAATGTATGGAGGATGCACAAAGATCAATTGACAGATTAGCAAGTTCTGTTGCTTCGTTCGATATGCGCTTTGTACCTTCAAAGTGCAAAGTGATACTGCAAGACTGGGTGTTGCCGAGTTCTGCTTCGAAACTAGACGGTCAGGAATTAGCAGAAGTTGACTGCTTCTCGCACTTGGGTAGCTGCTTGACCAACGACGGCAGCATATCAAAGGAGAAAACCACCCGCGTTTCCAAGGCTCGAGCAGCGTACGCAGGCCTTAAGCACCTGTGGCGACGACGTGATGTTTCACTGAAGTTGAAGAGTTGCGTCTACTACGCCACTGTATGACCATTTCTGCTTTACGATTGTGAGACCTTGAATTCGCGGGTAGGAGGCATCCGTCGCCTAGTGGATTTGGTTAATCGATGCTTACGTATCCTGGTCTAGGTGGGATGGAGTGGGCGGGTTAGTAACCTAGATGTAAGTCGTCGGGTGTTCGGGGATGCATCGAACCCAAATTCGCTAGCTCATTGAATTCAGCTCAATAGACTCAGGTGGTTAGGACACGTTTTGCGTATGCCCGACGGTCGCCTACCACACCGTGTCTTGTTTGCAGTGGTGGCTCCAGCCAGTAGATGACGTGGAGACGACGCACGAAGAAATGCACAGAGTCACTGGATAGAGTAAGTGCCTTTCATCTTCCGGGTTGGGGTCCAAAAGACTCAGTAACTGGATGGTTGGAGACACTGAAGGTCATAGCAGCCACTTGTTATCAGTTCGAAATGCTTTAAATAGTGTATATGCATAGGTGGATGGTGTACTCTGTGTGTTGACCATAGAGGTCCGCTTTCTTTTCCCGTCCCCAAA